TAGCGGGATTATTAATATAACAGAAATTGGTTAGCTGACGGCAACTGAAACTGACTACAATCAGTCAAATTCACCGGTGCACCTAGTCTACAACAGGAGAACAGAGTTCAAGAATTTATGATGGGATACAAACCTTATACGTGGCTAAGTAAACACAATTAGCAACTTAATCTGCTTTCACTTCACCGCAATAAATTTACAAATACCGTTCATCTGTAAACACCAAACAACAGCGATTAAAATAAAAGCTGCAAATTTTCAAAAGCGGCTTATTTGGAGAATGATTACCTATTCAATGTTAAGGCGTTCGTCATCTGCTTAAAAGCATTAGTCAGTTTCTATAAAGCATTAGTCAGTAAGCAGGTGAGCGATAACGAGAAGTTGCCAACATCGTCATCAACGGCAGACATTCAGTCTTAATGATGCTCCTGTGTAGTTCAATCTTTGCTCACTGCTGCCGGTTTATTCGTCTTTTTTTGGGTTCCACAAGAAGCCCCCGCAAGTGATTAGTTCAAAAGTTTTTTTTGGGAAGGGAGTAGACAAAGAAAACCATTAGTATGTTGAAAGTTTGTCCAGTCAGACGAAATTGAACTGTTCGGAAGTGACAGTTGGTGTTCAAAATTTTGGCTAATTGTTGAGATAGGTACTAAGCAAAGATAATTTTATAGAATTAGTGATAGAACAATGAAATAGCACTCTTTGTTTTCTGAACGTAATTATCAGTGGCTTTGATTCATCTAAGTCGGTATTCGGTTTCACAACCTGTCCTAGTCAAAATGGAATTCAAAATAAATTTGATGAATAATTAAACTCGTCTATGATAAGAAACATTTTTGCGCTTTTTTTTTTTTTGTTCTTTAAACATCTAATCATCTGTGGAGACAAAAAAAAAAAAGAGAAAAGCGGAAGCTGCCAAAAAATAAAATAAGCAAAACGGTTTCACTGTTTTTTTTTTTCCCCCGTTTTCTTATTCACTTATTGCCATTTTAGTTTAAGGAGAGTATTGGCAGATTAAAATAAACATTTTCATTAAATTTTCATTAGTCAATAATCCAATTTTTTCTTGTTTTCAATGCAATAGTGATAAATCAACAGAAATAAAAGAGAAAAAAACCCTAAAGATTTGTAGCCAAAAATATTTGGTCTAATTTCAAGAAGTAACAGGATAACAACAGTTAAAAATGAATTTCAGTTGGTGACAACACAAATTGAAAAAGTCTATGCAAATAAATCAAAAATTCTAAAAAAAAATAAAAAAAACAGAGAATAAGTGTATCAAAAAGGTAAGAATCGAGAATTAAAACTGAGCGCTAAGTACAGGTTAAAAAAAAATGTATTCAATTGATTCTTTCTTCAACCTCTAAACGTAAGAGCAAAAAGAAGGGAAATTAAAAGACCAAATTATATGCGCATTTTAAAGACTGACACTAAGTTTAAAATAATAAAAAAAAAGGTTGTTTATTTTTTTCACTATTTGAATTCTTTCTTTCATTTTTTTTTTTTTTTT